AAAAAAAAAAAAAAGCTGTTTCTACTTATTTTGGAAAAACAAAATTAAACATATTCCTTCAGTGTCCAGAATTTTTATTTTAAAATATTGTTAGACATAGGAGAAGGGACTTAATGTTCTTAGCAGTACTCCTAGGCAGTGTCAAGAAAGTATACAGAACTTGGTCCAAATAGTGGCTTTCAAATGTTGAGTGGCCAGATGTGCATAATATCATTAGACATGATCAAGGATACATACCTTTGTATACAACTGCCTCAATTTTTAGATTAATGAGAGCAGATAACATGTTTATTTTTCAATGATACCCACTGTGTATCACCCAAAGAAAAGGAAGAACTCGGTAAATATCTAATGAATTAATAAAATGAAAATAAAACAGGCACTTGCAGCTCATTTCTCTTAAAAACACTTCTGCTACTTGGTATGAAACATGGGTTATTATGGTGATGGTATTAACTGGATGAACCAGAAGGGAAATGCAAACAATTCTCAATGTAGAAGGCAGAAATCAACCTAAACTTCTGTTAAAGTTTAAGAAGTGGAGTTGAAACATCACATTAATTACTCCAATGACGATGGCATATATTGTTATATCAAAACAATTTCATAACATTCCTCAAGCCAAACAGGTTTCTGTCTTCTCCTTGGCCCTGGGAACACAAAATGGCATGGCTATTGTCAAAGGAATATGATGGTTTAAAATTATTAGGAAATTCTACTTCCCACAACTTAATAGGATAATGTTTACAGTATTATACTTTCTAGAAACTAGTCCATAAAAAAATACTAATAGTATTAGCTTCAAAGTTAATGAACATTTATGGTTGTTTACTACTTACCAAGTACAGTTAACTCTTGAACAACACAGTTTGAACTGTGTGGGTCCACTTACAGGCAGATTTTTTTTCTGCAGAAGCTACACTGAGTGTACCTGCCTCTCTTGCCTCACCTACCACCTCCTCCACCTCTTCTGCCTCTGCCACCTGAGACAGCAAAACCAACTTCTTCCTCCTCAGCCTACTCAATGTAAAGATAACAAAGACAGACTTTTCTGATGATTCACTTCCACTTAATAAATAGTAAATATATTTTCTCTTCCTTATGTTTTTTTAAATAACATATCCTCTAGCTTACTTTATTGTAAGAATACAGTATACAATACATATAACATACAAAATGTGTGTTAATTGACTATATTATCCGTAAGGCTTCTGGTCAACAGCACACAATTATAGTAGTTAAGTTTTTAGGTAGTCAAAAGTTATATGCAGATTTTTATATGCACAGGGAAGGAGGGGGTCAGTGCCCCAATTTCCGTGTTGTTCGAGGATCAACTATATATGTTAAACATCTATATACTCAAAGCAAATGTATGCGATAGTAGTGATATCCGTCTCTTACCAATGAGGACACTAAAACTAACAGACTACATATCTTTCCAAAGTCACAAAGCTACAAAGTAGATAAGCTGGGATTTTTACCCTAGTCTAATTCCCAGCTTCTGGTTCTTAGTTATCTCACTATATTAATTTCTTATCTTTTAAAACTGTTCTTATGGTATTTTAGACTTAAAGTTAAGCTCTATCTTTATGAACAAGGAGAAATCTGTGGTCGGGTGTGGTGACTCAGGCTGGTAATCCCAGCTTTTCGGGAGGCTGGGGTGGGAGAATTGCTTGAGCCCATGAGTTCAAGACCAGCCTAGGCAACATGGTGAGACCCCATCTCCATTAAAAATACAAAAATTAGCTGGGCATGGTGGCATGTGCCTGTAGTCCCAGCTATCAGAGAGGTCAAGGTGGGAGAATCACCCAAGCCTAGGAGTTTCAGGTTGCAGTGAGCAGTGATCACACCACTGCACTCCAGCCTGGGTGATAAAGTGAGACCTTATTTTTAAAAAAGTCAAATTGGTTTCCCTAACAATTCCATATGGTAAGATCTGGCTTGGTTATTCCTAAAAGATTACAGTACATAGGAGAGCAGCAGGCCAGACAGAGTCACATGAGCTTGGTAAGTTGACCTCAAGGAATCTCTAACTCACCTAGGCCAAGGAATCTCTGCCATAATGTGCAGTCTAGTTCTGAAATAAAAGAAGGAGTGACCAAGTTATACAGTTGTTTCCTACATTACTTCCTAGGTTTTCTGAATCAGAACACCTTTCAAATGCCAAAAATGTAAATGATTTTTGGTGGAGATGTTTTACTAAACTAAGTTTCCCTTCTTTCATAAACTTTATTGAAACTCTCTTAATGATGACCATCAAGATAGACAGGTTTGATGTATATTACTGCTTGCCTCTTTGTTAAATGGCATTAGAATGCTTAGCATGTTATATTTTTTACTTCTTTCCTTCTTGTTTTCTTTTTCTCCTTTAGCTGCTGTCCCCTTATAGGCTCTGTGACTTTGAGCAGTTAATCTCCATCAGTCTGCTTCTTCATCTGTAAAATGAAGATACTACTACTAATCCATAGGGTTGCTTTGAGAATTAGATGAGGTAGCATAATTAAAGTGTTTAACTTAGTACTTGGTATATATTATTTCAGGTATATCTCAGATTGCAGGTGCTATCAAAAATCTGACCTTTAGAAATTTAGATAATAGGGCACTTATTTATGAAAATACTTTGAAACTTGCTTTGAAAATTACAAAATACTACAAATATAAGGAGTAGTCATTATTGTTACCTTTATAACAAGGATAAAGAAGATAACAAGAATGAAGACAACAAAGATAGGCCTTATTATCATTATGCTTATAACCAGGCTAATGATAAGTTACTGTGATCACATCAGACATTTCGGTTTAGAAAGGTTAAATCTTCAGGTAAATCTATATTTTAAAGCAAGTAATAGATGACTTGGCAAACCTACAAGGCAAGTAAATAGGTGGTTGAAAAATCAACATAAGAGATGTGAGCTCAAAAACCCTTTATCCTTTTAACAGAATTCTTTTTATCCCTCTAGATACATTAGTTATGCTGTATTTCCTTTTGTTGAGATGGATAATTAAAAATTTATTTTAAAATGCTACTTTGTTTGGAATAATCTGATTAACTGACTTTTCCAATTCACTCATTCAAACAATGACAAAGCCTAGGAAAAGATGCATGAGAAAAAGGAATTGCCTTATTTTATTTTATTTTATTTTATTTTATTTTTTGAGACAGGTCTCACTCTGTCACCCAGTCTGGAGTGCAGTGGTGTGATCATAGCTCACTGCAGCCTCCAACTCCTGGGCTCAAGTGATCCTCCCACCTCAGCTTCCTGAGTAGCTGGGACCACAGGAGTATGCTACTATGTCTGGCAAATTTTTTGATTTGTAGAGTCGAGGTCTCACTAGGTTGCCCAGGCTGATCACGAACTCCTGGGCTCATGCAGTCCTCCCACCTCAGCCTCCTAAAGTGCTGAGATTACAGGTGTGAGCCACTTCACCCAGCAACTTTATTTTTAAATAATGTCTTGGGGATGAAGCAGGTGTATTTCATTATGTTAATCAGGCTCAATTATGAATTTTAAGAAATAATATTTAACCTAAAATCCTGTCATCAAAATGAGAGTTTTCATATTTTTTGGCATCAAGTTGGGAAAAGTTAAAATTGTTTGGTGGTCTCAGTCATACTACTCAATCATGAAAGGAATAATAAATTTTGTTTTCCAAAATTACTCAGATAAGAATAAAAATCTTCAGAATTCCACAAGTATCAGGTTTAATGATAAGTGTATAAATTTTACGACTGTTCTGAAAAACAAGAGAGTTGGTTGCATGCATATATATATGTATATATATATTATATATTTGAAACAAGGTCTACTTTGTCTCTCAGGCTAGAATGCAGTGACGCAAACACAGCTCACTTGCCAGCGTCAACCTCCTGGGCTCAAGCATCTCCTGCCTTAGCCCCCCAGATAGGTGAGATCACAGGCATGTGTCACCACACCCAGCTAATTTTTGTATTTTTTGTAGAGACAGGGTCTTATCATGTCCAGGCTGGTCTTAAACTCCTGAACTCAAGCAATCTTCTCATTTCAGCCTCCCCAAGTGCTGGGGTTATAGGCATGAACCACTGTGCCCAGCTGCATGTCAAAATATTTCAAGACGAAGTAGCAACTATAAACTTCTTAAGCTAACAGAATAAACTAAGATTAAATCTATGAGAAAATATGAGAAAATCAGTACATTTCAGCTCTTGGAAAATAACATTATGAGTATAATTGTACTTATACCAAATAGTTATGTTAATAATCCCATTCATTCACTCTAATTCTTTATTCATAAGAAAATAAATTCTTAACTATTACTAACCAGCTACTTTGTCAGGTACTTTCTGCATCACAATTGGAATAGATCTTATCCCCTCCCTTGCACAAAAAGGAAAACTGGAGCCACTGTGAATTCTAGTTTTAAGACTTACTATTTTGAGTATTGGGGAATTAATCTGTCTGAGCCTCAGTTTGTTCATTCATAAAATGGAGCCAATAATACCTGTCTCCTAGTATTGTTATGAAAGTTAAAATGGTCCACGTAAACTCTCAATAAAAAGTAGTTATTAAGCTGAGCATGGTGGCATGTGCCTGCAGTTCCAGCTACTCAGGAGGCTGAGGTCAGAGGACTGATTGAGCCCAGGAGTTCAAATCCAGCCTGGACAACATAGTGAGACCCTCAACTCTTAAAAAAAAAGTAGCTATTAATATCATAACTAGTAGCTAAAAACTTATAGGTAATAGGAGTCAAGATTCAAATTGACTTTTCACTTTAAAGCAGTGCTGCCCAGAACTTTCTAAATGACAGATATTTTACATCTGAGCTGTCCAGTCTGGCAGCCACTAGCCATATGTGGTTATTGAGTATCTGAGCTGTGGCTAGTGTAACTGAGGAGCTAGATTTCTAATTTTATTCTGATTTAAATATCCACATATAACTAGATGCTATTGTACCCAAAGCATAGTTCTAAAACGTGGGTATGTGTGCACGTGTGCACACACACGTGCTTTCCCCCATTAAGGCACACACCTTCATTTAATGTATGCAAAGTTCCTTTTCAGACCTCCCTTCTTAAAGGGTACATATAGATGGCAAATAAGTAGCTGTGGTATATAAGTCTTTGTGTTTAGGTGTTCAGGCTTTTGAGTAGGAATACCATTATACCATATATTCACCAATTCTGGTATTAATTTCTTGAAAATAGGTCTTTAAAAAAAAAAAAAAACTCTATAACTCTCACTGCATTTCTACCTGTGGCAGACCTAAAATAAATTATTTCCTACTTTCTTTAATTATATAGACCATGTAAAATGACTGACAGGGCTCAAAACTCACTACCCCAAAATACAGGGGCATACTGACTCTTTTAAGCTGAAGGAAACTGAGAAAACTTAAAAAGCAGAAAGGACACTCTCTGACTTTCTCCCTTTCTGCTCTGATGCAGGCCACAATATAATTCTCTGACCTCCCCGTGAAGCAGGTGCTCTACCTATCCCTAGAAGAAAGAATCCAAAGACACAGAGATACCAAGAAGAATCTGAACAAACACACCTTGCTAAATTCCCCTCAGTGTATTACCATCATATAATACTCTCCAACCTTTGTCCAATCATACTTCTGTGACTCTCTGCTCTTCATCAAACCAAAGCATAAAATACACATATTTCCCTGTTCTTTTAGGTCTTCATTTCTGAAAGCTCCTGTCACACAGAACTTCTACTAAACAAATGTGTATGATTTTCCCTTGTTAATATTATTTTGTTATGGGGATCTCAGCCATGAACCTTGCAATGGGGAAAGAAATCTTTTCTCCCATTGGTGATCCAGGCATTTCTCATATAAATACAAAGTACTTTTAAACTTCTATCCCAAGTACTTTACACTAATATGATAAATGAACTTTTATGTAATGTATACATGAAAAGTGGGAATAATATTTGTGTAAAATCATACATAAAAACATACTGTGCAATCCTCTCAACCACTCTCAAGAACAGGAGCCAAAAATGTAGGTTGAAAGAGCCAGCCCTATTGCTGAGAATAGCAGAGAATTCAGTCTTTAGAAACAGGTTGTCTTATAGTCATTGAAGTTTGACTTCATAAACATAAAAGATTCCCCTGCTACAAAAATCCTACCAGAAAAAACAGCCAAAGGTCGAATCCCTTCACAAACTATAGAAAATCTAGTGAACTACTAACCCATAGGAAAACTGGTTACTGCATCATAGTGTTTCTCAAATCTGAGTATGCACTCTTAAATAAAAAATGCTCAACAGTCCTAAGTATGTGTCTAAGTATCCCAGTTTGAGAAATAGTGATTCATAAACTGTCTTATTCTAAGAAAATGTCTTTCAATTGTAAGCAATTATTACTGCAAAGATCTGACTTTTAATTGACAAATATATATATTTTGATCGCCACCTAAATGAACTCAAAACACTTAAGAATTTCTTTGTAAGACATAAACCCTGAGAATATATCTGAATGCAATTCTTAGACTGAAGTTTGAGAAGTGCTGCTACAGTTGAAATACCAGAAACAGTATTACTGTTGCAGGAAAAGTGGTTAACAATCAGCTGTATTTCTAAGTAACCAACAACATTTATGTCAGCCCCAATGGAACTTCACTTTTTTAATACGCACTACATGGTTTAGATATATCAACATAAAAACATCTCATAAAAGCTTCACAGGATTTCAGTGTTAGTTCCCTCATCTCAAATATTAGGGAAACGTCATAATCATGCATTTGCTTATATATGCTTACCTTGCTCTTTGACATAGAAAGTGAAGAATCATCTTTGTTTTGAGAAATATCTTCCTTCCCTCTTTCCAAACCTTAAAAAAAAAAAAGCCAGTATCTCAGAATTACTACTTTTGAATATGTATAACAAGTCATTCAATTTCAAGCATAGATTATATTTGATATAAATCAGTGCAGGAAGCCTGTACATACAGTTTTAAACTATTAAAGACCTCTAAAGGGTCATATATAGTATAACCCTTTAGAATTAAGGCTTAGAAACAATGAAGTACTTCCCTGAACCCACCAACATCATGAAATAGATCTCTTTTCTTTGTTCCTGATGAACGTCACATAAATTCAGCCCTCGTAGAGCTTTTATTCCAGTGAGCTGGTTTCTAGCAACAAATTCTAATTGACAGAACCAACTCAACATACTTTTCATACCTTTGGTCAAAATGGAAAACAATTTTGGACCAGGTGATAAAAGACTGGGGAAATAAATTTGGATTGACTTTTTAGAAATCTTATAATGTGCTTATTTTGAGAATTAGATGAGGATACATATAAAGCACTTAGCATAGTGTTTTTGCACAAAGCATACATTCAATTAATGTTCACCCTTATTATCATCATTTTCTATTGTTATTCTAAAAGCATGAATCTAAAATGCACAAGTGTAGTGGACAAACATGAATATACTCCTGAAATCATATAACACTTTAATACAGCACTATGCCAAAACCAATTAACAAATTATTATTACAAAGGTACAATTAGAGAAACATCAATATTGAGACTTTTGTGGCAGGCATAAAAGAAGCAGTACACATTTTAATTTTAATGAGGTTTTTCTATTTTTTAGGACAGGTACTATTAACTCTTCCCTATAATTATTTGTTCAGAGTCCAATTAAAGCCTCTATTTAAAAACAAATGTACAATTATTCAAAAAGCAGTACTTTTAAAAAGTCAAGTGGCTGGATATGGTGGCTCATGCCTATAATCCCAGCACTTTGGGAGGCCGAAGCAGGTGGATCACAAGGTCAGGAGTTCAAGACCAGCCTGGCCAACATGGTGAAACCCCGTCACTACTAAAAAATAAAAAAATTTGCCAGGCGTGGTGGTGCATGCCTATAGTGCCAGCCACTCAGGAGGCTGAGGCAGGAGAATTGCTTGTACCCAGGTGGCAGAGGTTATAGTGAGCTGAGATTGCACCACTGCACTCCAGCCTGGGTGACAAAGCAAGACTCTGTCTCAAATAAATAAACAAATAAATAAATAAAGTAGTACCAGTGCCTGAAGTATTTTAAAATCACTTCAAGCATATCAAGGATAATATCATTGATTCTATATTTGGTTTGTTAATATAACAGCTAAAAAAATATCTGTTCTATTTTCTGAATACAGATATTTTACTGAAAATTTTATATAATATAAAAAACGGATTTTTTTCCCCTCTCTGGTAAGAAAAAAGATCACTAAATCCCAATACTAAAAATAAAAATAAAATAAAACCTTTACAAATTCAACATGAAATTCTGAATGAAATTAGTTAACGATGTGGGGTAGTAAATTATCTTCCAACTATCCTCCCCATGCCTACAACGAGACAGAAACCTACATCCCTATTAGAATGGCTGAAATTAAAAGGACTAACACTATCCAAGTACAGGTGAAAACATGGAGCAACTGAAACTGTTCACTACTGGTAAGAATACAAAGTGGCATAAGAACTTTGAAAAACTATTTGACAGTATCTATTAAAGTCAAATGTACACGTACTCTAACACAAAGGAATTCTAATCCTAGACAAACCCAACAGAAATGAGTGTGTACATCCATCAAAAGAGAGGTACAAGAATGTTCACATAAGCTTTATTCGTAATAGCCAAAATCTGGAACCACTTCAAATGGCTATGAAGAGTAAAATTAATAAATATATTATACTACGGTCACACAATGGAATGTTAAGACAGCAACAAAAAAGGAACAACAAATATTGAGTGAAAGCCAACTCTTCCGATTTAAAAAAAGTACATACCATATGATTCTATTTACAAACTTAATCTATGGCATTAGAGGTTGGAACAGCAGTTTATCTTCCTTGAGGAAATACTGACTTGGAGGGATGTGAGACAGCCTTCTGATCTGGGAAGTGATTACACGTTGTCTGTATGTTACTAAAAATTCCAAAGCTGCACATTTAATTACATGTAAGTTATACCTCAATAAAAATAATTTAAACACACACCCTTTCCCTATTCTTCCAGTTTACTGAGTCTGTCAGTGAAGTTTTAGTTTGCATGTCCCTGATTACTAATGGTGCTGAAAACTTTCTCATGTTAATTGGCTCATTTCTTCTTTGTGAAGAATGTCTTCAGATCTTTTGTATACTAAAAAAAAAAAAAAAAACAACTCATCTGTCTTTTCTTATTATGTAAGAATTCTTGATATATTCTAGATACTAGTCCTTTGCCAAATGTATTTGTTGCAAACATCTCCTTATTCTGTGGCTTTTTATAGGCTACATGGTTTCTTTTGGTGAAGAGCTTTTAATTTTCATGTAGTCAAATTTAGCAATCTTTATAGGTTAGTGCTTTCGGGTCTTAAGAAATTCTTCCCTGAATCTGCAGTAATCATAAAAATATTTTCCAATAATGTAGTTTTACCTTTTGCATCTACATCCAACAGTCCACCTGGAATTGACATTTGAGTATAGTGTGATATACAGGTACAATTTCACTTTCTTTTCATTTAGATACCAACTGACTTGCCACCAATTATTGAAAAGAACCTCTTTTATCCGTATGTGTCAAATGTTCATATACATGTAGGTTTGTTTCTACATACCCCCCTATTCTGTTCTATTCATCTAGCACTTGAAGTACAATACTGCCTAGAAATGGTGAATGCAGGCATTCTTGTCTTGTTTCTAATCTCAAAACTGTCAATATTTAACCATTAAGCATAATGTTTAATGTAGATTTTTGGGTATATTTTTACATATATATATATTTACATATACTTGGATACAGATATTAATATTGGTACAGACACTAATATAGATATTTGAGAAATAGGGGTTTTTTTTTTTTGTTTTTTTTTTACTTAGTCAGGACATGTCTTAAAAATTTGAAACAACTGGATTCATCTCGGCTCACTTAATTTTTTTTTTTTTTTTTTTTTTTTTTTTTTTGAGACAGGTCTTGCTCTGTTGCCTAGGTTGGAGCTCAGTGGTGTGATCTCAGTTCACTGCAGCCTCGACCGCCCATGCCCAGGAGATCATTCAATCTCAGCCTCCTGAGTAGCTGAGACAAGAGGCACATGTCACTAAGCTTGGCTGAGACATGGTCTCACTATGTTGCCCAGGCTGGTCTCACTATGTTGCTCAGTCTGGTCTTGAACTCCTGGGCTCAAGCAATCCTCCCACCTTGACCTCCAAAAGTGCTGAGATCACAGTTATGAGCCACTGTGTCCAGCTAGAACAGGTACTGATACAGATATTTAGGGAAGTTCACTCCTTCTAGTTTTCTAAGAGTTACCAAAATGAAATTTGGATTTCATGAAAACTTTTCCCACATCTATTAAAATAACCATATTATTTTTTCTGCTTTTAATCTGTTAGTGTAGTGAATCACATTAATTTCTAATGTTAAGTCAATCCTGCTTTCTTAGATTTTCATCCAACTTACTAATAATGCATTATTCTCTTTATAAAAAGATTTTGCTACTATCATTAAGATGTTTTGTAATCTATATTCATTACTGATTAGAAAAATTATAGGACAATCTCTTTCAATTGAATTTCATATCAAAGTTATACTAATACTAGTGTTCTTCCCACTCTTCACATCTATTCTCTGAAGGCAGTTGTGCAAGATTGGAATTATTTCTTCATTTAATGTTTGGCAGAACTTGATATCTACTTGAATTTGGAGGCTTCTAGTTTAATTTCCGTTTGTTTTCTTGAGACAGAGTCTCGCTCTATCGCCCAGGCTGCTGGAGTGCAGTGGCATGATCTCGGCTCACTTCAGCCTCTACCTCGCGGGTTGAAGCGATTCTTGTGCCTCAGCCTCCTGAGTAGTTGGGATGACAGGCACATGCCACCAAGCCCAAATAATTTTTGTATTTTTAGTAGAGATTGGGTTTCACCATGTTGGCCAGGCTGGTCTTGAACTCCCAACCTCAGGTAATCCACCCTCCTCGGCCTCCCAAAGTGCTGGGATTACAGGCGTGAGCCACCATGCCCAGCCAATTTTCACTACTTTCTTAATAGCCTTTCTCTAAAATACTCTGTCTCTTAACTTACATAAAGTAATAAGAATATCTTTGGGGCATTTTACTGAAGCCAAATTCCTTCCAAATGGTCATTAAGTAGCTAAGTGAGGATTAGAAACTAGGTCGTCTACCTCCATTTTCACTCTGCAACATACATTCAGGCTGACTTCCACATTTTCTGAGGTTAAAGAACATAAAACAATAGCACATATTTAGGCCAGGTACTGTAGCTCACGCCTATAGTCTCAGCACTTTGGGAGGCTGAAAGGGGCAGATCACTTTGAGGTCAGGAGTTCCAGACCAGCCTGGCCAACATGGTGAAACCCCGTCTCTACTAAAAATACAAAAATTAGCCGGATATGGTAGTGCAGGCTTGTAATCCCAGCTGCTTGGGAGGCTAAGGTGAAAGGATTGCTTGAACCCACTAGGCGGAGATTGCACCAAACCAAGAGTGCGCCACTGGGCAATAGCACTGGAGTGCTGGGCACTCCAGCCTGGGCAATAGAGTGAGACTTGTCTCAAAACCAAAAACAAAAAAGCAGATATTCAGAATAATGAATATTTAGATTGACAGTTAGCAATCCTTTCAATCAACTAAGAAACATCTCTTATAAATATAAACATTAGGACGGGCATGATGGCTCATGCCTATAATCCAAACACTTTGGGAGGCTGAGATAGGCAGATCACTTGAGGCCAGGAATTCAAGACCAGCCTGGCTAACATGGTGAAACCCTGTCCCTACTAAAAATACAAAAATTAGCTGGGTGTGGTAGTACATGCATGTAGTCTCAGCTACTTGGGAGGCAGAAGCA